GATACACAAGTATTATGCGGATAAAATTGGATAATTCTAACACAAAGAAGTACCCCAGGAACGTGCTATTCATATTTTGCTTAGGGGTGCTGGCCTAGCTCAGGTGCACTTTATAACAGCATCTCCAACAGACACGCCAAAAAAGCGCACGCACGAAAAACATGGCTTTTAGTGCGCGCGCCCAAAAACAGCGCTCCAGCGGAAGCTGTAGAATAGAGCACGCACAAAAGCGAAGCTGTAAATTTAGCACACGCAGGCTGCCTGGCTGCAAATTTGGGGCGCCGGCTTGTGCGCGCCTGCTGCTGCATGTGGGGCCGCTGGGTTGGGCTCGTGTTTTTGTCCGTCTGGTAAACTTCCCGCGTGCAAAAACACTATTTCAGCGCTGCAAAACTTTTTTGGTGCGCCGCGCTAGCCCACGTCTGTTGGAGATGCTCTAAGGACTTGAATGGTAGCATTGACATGAAGCCATGGATCCTCTGGTAGTTCAATAGTCATGCATCCCTTGATTATGTGCTTCGTCCTCTGGTAGTTCAGAGGATATAAGAGCTTTAAACAAATGACATTTCGTCAGATTTGACATATCATTCCGACTCACTCTCAAATTGGACGTCACCCAATCTCGAGACGGCAAAGCCATGGATGTCTTTGGACTCGTCGGCAAGGGCTTGAATGTGACATTGCCGGAGGCGGGACATGTGGTGTTGGGGTGTGGGACAAGAGGAGAAGGGTGAGAGAGAAATCATGTCGGAGGAGACAAAATCGTTCAGAGAAAAAAAGAACACACCTGGCCATTTCTTTTAGACAGAACGGTCCACAGAATTGACTGACAGAAAGTATGATTTCAGGCATTTGATGTATAGGTCGCCCCTTTCATTTGAAGAGTAAAACACTTTAACTTTCGACCTCTACATTAAGAAGATGTACCTACCAAACACAAAACTTATTACTTCGTCCGATCCTTATTAATTGACGCTAGTTTAGTAAAAAGTTAGTATAAAATTGTACTAAACTAGCGTCAATTAATATAGATCCAGGGGAGTATTAATTTTACAAAGTTCATGGAAAATACAGCTTGGCGGTAATGTTCCATCCTTGAGAAGCCAAGTAGAGCCAACTCTGTCTAGTTCAAATGCCATGTTGCATTGTACATGCTTGTACCTCCTTGAGCAAAAAAATATTACGATAATACTCGGCAAAAGAACATTAAGAACCAGTACTACCTCCATGGGCAAACGCCTGCTGATTTTACGACTTGAAACGTAAAATATTATTGTATGGTGACGCTTAATACTATTAAGTGTCACTTAATACTATTAAGTGTCACCATACTATAGAATATCTTTTGCCAACATTGATAAAGCAAATAGATATATTAAGTCCATTATTTTCATTTGAAACAGCCTTTTTTGTATACAGGGATCATATTGATTCTCTTCTCGCACTGCCCCGTGTGCAAGAATCCTCGGCCTCAATTTTGTGCCTTTGTGGTTAATTCGTTCTTTGCAAGAAAAAAAATAAGCTATCAAATGTTGAAAGAGATTATTCAATTTCTTGTTGCAATGCGCTGTTATTTCCAATTAGATGTAACCATTTTGGTGTGACTCAACTCTACCAGATTCATCACTCGTTCCACACTCCCGTAACAAGATGCCAGATGTGTTGCGAGTGAATCAATCAATTTTATTTACCAGTGGCGGCCTCTGCCTTGGGATGCCTGTTCTTGTCCGGGTGCAGCTACAGAGCTGCACATGAATCAATCAATTTTATTTACTACTATCATTACTGTAGTATTTCCTCTGTCTAGGTGAGTAAGTCATCTTAGATTGTCCACCGTGACCAAGGAGGAGGGAAAAACGAGAGACCTTAATATTTATTTGCTAATTAATAGCATTGCATGCAATGAACTAACCACTGCATGTCGTGTTTGATAGTCTCAAGTCATTAAAAGCATGCACACCCCTCGTCTCTTATTGGTTGATATGTGAAGAAACAAGAAACAAGGTAGAAGTTAATACACCACGCCTAAGTATTTTGGGATTATTTGGTTTTTGTAAAATGACTTACACACCTAGACGGAGGGAGTACTCCAAGGCAGAGGTCGCCACTGGTACGGTCAGTTTGTTGGGCGTATCTGACGTCGCTCTAGGCCCAAGGTGCGGTGTGATTGGCAGTAAATAAGGAGGCGTTGGAGTTGCGTTATTGAAGGAGATGCGCCTAATGAATCGCTGCACTCATGTTCACACTTGCATGCGGGAGGCCATGCGGAGCAAATAAGAAACCGAATCCCACTTGCACTCATGTTCACACTTGCATGCGCTGCACAAACCATTCATGTTCCCACTTGCATGCGGTTGAGGAAGAGAAATGGAAGCAGCCTAATGTGCCCCAATTAATAGGATAGTTAAGGAGCTGCGCCCTATTTCCGTGGGATTGTGAAAAAAATCTGGTATTGAAGAGGCTACCAACAAACTGTGATGGAGTGAGTACAAATATACGATCAGTAATAAACGCGGCGATCAACCGTGGCATGATGCGTGCGTACCGAGGTGCCGGTAACACCGCTTGATGGCGTCCCCCGACGCGGCCTCGCCGATCTGCCATACATACACGAGTTAACTACTCCCCATTCTAAAATAGTGCGTCCGCACTTTTCGAGGTTTAACTTTGATCATAAATTTAACCAACGAGATCGACTGCGGTGGGATAAAAAATTACATAATTTGAAAAACTTCTTTTGAATACGAATTCATTGATATAATTTTTGCTTCCGCCGTTGTCGGTCTTTTTGGTTAAATTTATGATCAAAGTTGAAGGATGAAAATAGAGAACATGCTATATTTTGAAATGGAGGGAGCCATTAACACGACGCCGAAAACATAGGCGCAACGAGGAAGGCGAAGGAAGTGCGTGCGTAGGTATTGTATACGTACGGCGAGGACGATGTACCAGTCGACGAAGTGCGCGCGGCGCGGGGAGCGGCGGCGGTGCGGGCAGGACGCGAAGGCCGCCGACGCCGCACACACTTCGCGGGCCGCCTGCGCCTTCACGGCCGCGTCCGCCATTGGCGTGACCGGCCGATGGGTCGACGTACGGCGGGGCAGAGCATGCGCGTGTGTACGACAGTTTGTGTGTGTGTCGGGGGATGAAGAGAGGTTTTGTTGGCGTGACTTGTCCGCCTAGTGGAGTAGTGGGGAGGAGGTCGAGGCGAGAGGGAGTGGGAGTGGGAGGGGCGGTTCCGAGGAGGACGAAGGAGTGGAGCCCGAAAGAGCGGGGATTGCGGGTGCATGCAACTCGTGTCGCCACTCGCCAGCTAGCTTTGTTTTCGAATCGAACCGATAAAAACAAAAAGCCCTTGCATCGCGTCTACCTTGCACGACCAAGCCAGCGCCCTCACTGCTTCCCTCCGAACAAATTTTCAGGGACTTGCACAGCATGGCCATACGGATGCCTTGAGCTGCTGCCTGTCCTGCTTTCCCCGGCATTGTGGCACTCCACGCTGGAAGGTGCTGGCCGCTTCACATCCAGAGAACGATGGGATTGAAGCTGCCGATGGCCACTCAGTGATTGTACCAGCAGAAATTTATTGAGTTGGCAGCCGGCGATTTCCTCGTCGGCGTTGCTTCTTGTGAACCATGGAGCGAACACGCTGCCTCCTACTCACGCCCTCGAGTATTCATGGGTAATTTCTGGTGCCTTCCATGCCTACACTGATTCAAATCCGTGTTGTGCGGACACAACATGTAAGATTGGATAATTCTAACGCAAAGAAGTACACGAGCAGCATGCTATCATCTTTTGCTTAGGAGGGGCTGGCCTAGCTCGGGTGCACTTTATAAAGACTTGACTGGTAGCATTGACACAATGACACCATGGATGCACCGGTAGTTGAATAGTTAGGCATCCCTTCATTATGTGCTCGGTCCTCCGGTAGCTCAGAGGATTTCTTTTTTGAGCAAAAGAGAGGCCTCCCTCTTTGATTTCATATAATGAAACCATTTGATCTTAAGCATCTATAAACAATACACACAGCATACAAAGTGACGAGCCTTCAACAAGATTCAAACTAAGGTTCTATTACAAACGCGAACAACAGGGGACAAAATAAGGCTAAGCGCATGCTAAGAGCAACATACATCAACCAGTTTTTGCAACAACCAACACAAAAGGAACACTAGCACAAAGCAACCTAGAGCCAACAAAACAACCAACAACCAACTTCACATCTCCGCCTCTCTGGAAGTAGCCACCAAGTCGAGGGACTCCAGGTCTCCATCCCTGCGAAACATGAAACACTTCACTTGCCACGTGCTCGACTAGTCTTGGTCCCAACATCAATATTTTTGCCTTTGCGTCCTTTAGCTTCAGAATGGACCAATCAGAGATCCAATTACACATTAGTTTCACCAGCAGAATCGGATCATAAAGTTTCTTTCTATTAAAAATCATATCATTTCTACACTTCCAGAGAGACCAAAATGGAGCCAAGACCCTGACAAGAACAAGTTTTTTGCCAGGTTTCCGTAATGTCTTGATCTATCTGTCAAAGAAATAATTGGATTGACAGGGTAGAATTCAAATCAAAAGCACATTGCAGTAGGCTCCAAATCAACCTAGGAGCAGAACAGGAGAGGGAGCTCTTTCTACGGTCTTTCCCACCTCCCCTCGTGTCTCTCACAGGGAGGCGCCAATATGACACTGCCCCCTCACCGTCGCTGCCGTCGGCCCTAGTGATAGCGGCTGCGGCTCCCCTCGCTGCCAAAGGTGACTTGGGGTGGTGGAAGATGGATTCCGCTGCTGGAGCTGCTGGGGCGGCGAGAGTCGGCGTGTCGCCGCTCTTCGACAAGTGCGATGACCCTGCGTTAGGGTGGTGGTTGAGATGTTCTCTGGCAGCGCCATGACCGGTGGCAGAAGTAGGGCTGTGGCAGGTGGTGTTGGACGAAACCCAGATTTGATCTAGGTGGATCTCCCATGCCACCTATCCAGTTCTTCTTCACAACGTGTTAGGGACGGATCCGGTGGAGTGTCGCCCCTGCGCTGTCGCCGCCTGTCCAGCTGCTGACCCATGGTCGCTGGTCTATATGGTATGGCAGATTATGCAGGGTGCCAACCGATGGCGTGGGCGCTGCGGGCTCAGCCTGAATGAAGGCGGCAATCCTTGGGTACCTCAAGTGACAAGATGAAGATCTGCCTGATGCCTGTCCTCCTTGATCTGGTTGGAGTGTCAAGTTTCGAAAGTCTCCGCCAGCGAACTCCCATGGGCGCGTTATGCCTGGAGATTCCTGGTCCGGGTGTGATTCGATTGTGCCCACTGGTTTTCCGTTCAAGAGGGAGCGGTGCGAAGCTCTGCTATATGTTGCCATCATGGTATATGTTTAGTTTCATGGTGAAGTTAGAGGCAGAGAATGTCATGGAAGCCGATATCGGAGGACTAGTAATGGTGATTGGAGTGTCTATGGAGACGAGTAACTTGTTTGGAGTTTCAGGTTTCGTAGCAGCGGTATTTAAGTGGGGGCGACGACACAGGTGAAGCTCAAAGTCTTACTATAGGAACAAAGTATGTCTACCTAAGGGGGGGATGAGGGTGAATGGGAGTTTCCAAATTTCTTTTGAAAACTCAAATACTCTCTAAACATAGTAGTGGAAAGAAGGATAACAGATAGCAGTGAGTGAAAGTAAACCATTGAACTAAAACTAAACGCAATCATCAATGAGAATCACATGATGGTAAACATACTTCCAGGGTAATTTGAATGTAGTAGTACGAAGGAATAACCAGTGAAGCTTGGTGAAGACAAGGTGTTTGGTAGACCAGTTCGACCTTCTACACAAGAACTACGTCTGGTTGGAGGGGTTGTGATTTAACACAGAAGATAAACTCTCTCCACCCTATTCTCCATGACAATTGTTTCGTCAAGCAATGCCAATTACTCGTGGAAGATACTTTAGGTGATCTCCCAACTTTACATACTGCTTCTTCGAGATCCACAATCACTCTTGGTATCTAAAGGAAATGACACCTTACAGTCTAGAGAGTTTGCAGCTCTTAAGAGTAATAGGTTGAGCGTACTGGACATAGATTCGAGTGTTGCTAAACCACTATATAATTCTTCGGCTCTAGGGTTTTTCTCTCGGTGTATTTTAAACTCAAATCACTCTGGAGAGGGGGGTGGCTCCACAAACTTCTCAGAATCATCTGAATAGCCACCAGACAAAGCCGATGCGGGGTGGCTATTTATAGCCGCAACCTACCCTGATGGGAAATGACCATTTTGGACGCGTGGTCCAGCCAATGGCCAACTGACACATTTGCAATAGTCGGATTTTTGAAGCAATAGTAACATTACTTGAGGAGCAAGTAATGCTAACTCTTCGGTTAGAGTCAAATCTCTCGCAGCAAAGAAGATCATAGTCTCTTGCTGGCAAGTATTTGCTCGGAGCACAAAGAGATTTCTCTCACAACTTTCATAGGTTTGAGTTTAGCATCAGAGAACCAAAGCTTCAAACACTATACCCCTCTTAATAGTACGGTGGTCCTATGACTCAATGAAATAAAGAAGAATAATGAAAAGAATACTACATCTTCACTTTGTCTTCAACTTCCTTCGGTTGCAGTCACTTCCTTCGGAAACCACCGAACCAATTGCTTTGGGTCAACAATTTTAGGGGTCACTCTTCACATCATAAACTTCGTGCATAATGTTCACTGCAGTGCTGGGGATATTTTTTGGAGTTTATAGCAAACTCCTCACGACTTCAGCGACTTGTTACTCTGTGTGCACTAGAAAACACATTAGTCCCTTACTGTTCATGTCAACAATCTTCAAAACATAAGGAGGCAAATTATTGCACCAACAATCTCCCCCCTTTTGAACGATTGTTGACAAAACAGATAATCATCGAAGAGAGGAGCCAGAAAGAGCGGGGATTGCGGGTTCATGCAAGTCGTGTCGCCTGCTAGCTTTGTTTCTGAATCGAAATGGTAAAAACAAAAAGCCCTCGCACCGTGTCTAGCTTTCACCGAAAATCGAGATCTACTCGACTGAGCCAGAACGCTCACTTCCGGCGGACCATATTTTCAGGGACTTGGATCGGACGACCACGCGGATGCATTAAGCTGCTGATTGCCCTACTTTTTCCAGCATTGTGGCACTCGACGCTGGAATGTGCAGGGCGCCGGACATCGAGTCACGGATAGGATCGAAGCAGTCGATGCACACTCAGGAATTGTAGCAGCAGAAACCCGGTGAGGTGGGAGTTGACGATTTCATCATCGGCGTTGCTTGTTGTGAAACGTCGAGAAAACACGCTGCCTCCTATAAAAGCCCTCGAGTATCCATGGGTAATTTCTGGTGCCTTCCATGCCTACATTATTTCAAGTCCGTGTTGTGCATATGCAACATGTAAGATTGGATAATTCTAACGCAAAGAAGTACACGAGCATCATGCTATTCATCTTTCGCTTGGGGGGGGGGGGGCTAGCTTGGGTGCACTTTATAAAGACTTGAGGGGTAGCATATCATGATATGAAGCCATGGATCCTCAGGCGGTTTTATAGTTAGTCATCCCTTCATTATGTGCTCCGTCCTCTGGTAGCTCAGATGATTTCTTTTTTGAGCAAAAGAGAGGCATCCCTCTTTGATTTCATATGATGATGAAACCATATAATCTTAAGCATCTATAAACAATATGCACAACGTACAAAGTTACGAGCATATCAAGATTCAAACTAAGGTTCTATTACAGACCCGAACAACAGGGACCATAAGGTTAAGCACATGCCAAGAGCAACAGACATCAACCAGTTTTTGTAGGGACCAACACAAAAGGAATACTAGGACAAAGCAACTTGGAGCCAACAAAACAACCAACAACCAACTTCAATGATCAACAGCACAAAAGGCCCATCGAACTTCACTTCTACGTCTCTGGAATTAGCCACCAAGTCGAGGAACTCCAGGTCTCCATCCCCGCGAAGAGCGAAACACTTCACTAGCCACCTGCTCGACTAGTCTTGCTCCCAGCATCAACATTTTTGCCTTTGCACCCTTTTTCTGTAGAATGGACCCAATAGAGATCCAATTACCCATTAATTTCACCAGCACAATCGGATCATAAATTTTCTTTGTATTAAAAATCACATCATTTCTACACTCCCAGAGAGACCAAAATAGAGCCGAGACCTGAAGAAGAACAAATTTTTTGCCAGGTTTCCGGAATGTCTTGATCTATCTGTTAAAGAAATAATTAGATTTACAAGGGTAGAGTTCAAATCCAAAGCACGCTGCAGTAGACTCCAAATCAGCCTAGCAGTAAAATGGGAGAAAGAAGGTCATCAATGCTTTCATCTTGCCCATAGAAACACAACTTTTATCTCCTTTCTATCCTCGTTTAAGAAGATTATATCTAGTTAATATACTTTTTCTACTAACCAGTGAAAGGAAGACTTTAATTTTTGCGGCAATCTTGATTTTCCATAATAATTTATATGGGAAACCACAATTATTCTTAAAAAGAATCATATAAAGAGACTTGACTGAAAATTTCCTGTCAGCAGAAATCATTCACAGAGTATGGTCTTTCCCCCATGAATGATGACTTCTTCACACCCTCTTTCAAGCTATTCCGTAATTCTAAGATTGCCCATATAAAGTTCTTCTAAAAGAAAAGTGGTGCGACACTTTTTCTATAGCTTCAGCAACAAAAATATTGTGATCAAAGCAAGTTAAGTCTTATTCTGACTCAGAGGATATAAGAGCTTTAACCAAACAACCCTCCAGAAGATTGTACATATCATTTGGACTCACTCTCAGATTGGACAATGCCCAATCTCGAGACGTCAATGCCACAGATGGCCTCGGCCTCGCCGGCAAGGGCTTGGACGTGACATCGCCGGAGGCAAGACATGAGGTGCTAGAGGCGTGGGATGAAAGAACAATGGTGAGAGAGAAAAATCGTGTCCGAGGAGAAGAAACCGTTCTGATGAAGAAGAGACACATTTGGACATTTCTTTTAGATCAAACAACCGACATAATTGAGCACCAAAAAATATGATTTCAAGCATCTGACAAATAGGTTGCACCTTTCTTTTTTTAAAGAATAAAACACCACTCCCTTCGGTCCATATTACCTGTCATTGTTTTAGTACAACTTTAGTAGTAATATGGATCGGAGGTAGACTTCCGACCTCTACATTAAGAAGATGCACCTACCCAACACACAAAACTTATTATTACTTTGTAAAGCCAATGCTAATGTTTCATTCTTGACAAGCTAAGTAGAGCCAACTATGTCTAGTTCAAATGCCATGTTGCCTTGTGCATGCTAGTACCTCCTTGATAAAAAAACATTATGATGATACTTAGCAAAAGAACACTACGAACCGGTACTACCTCCATGTTCAAATGTACGTGATTTTAGGATTTGAAAGGTAAAATATTATTAAGTTTCACCATACTTTAGAATGTCTTTTGCCAACACTGGTAGACAATTTGGTATATTAAGTTCATTACTTTTATTTGAAGCGACCATTTTTTTATATGGATCATATCGATTCTCT